AAATCAATGAGAAAGTTTTTTGAGGATTCAACCACAGCCGCAGATCTCACACAAATCCAAAGGCTCCATGCAGCTTCAAGAATTTTCCGAGGCCCACTGGGTCCAGGCAGACACTGGCCGTGAGGGAAATCTCAGCCCTTGGGGAAGCAAACTGGGGGCAGGCCAGGCCGAGTGACTCCAGCTTGTGGATTCATTCTGCCTTGCACTGTTTGGAGGCTGGAGCACTGCTGCCCAAGTGCCAGTACTGGACGAAGGCAGACAGAGAGTCAGAGGCTGCCATAGCTAGAGTGAGAGAGAGAGTGGTTCCCGAAGCCTGTATAAAGTGCTGATGCACCATAGCTACAAGAGAGAGAAGAGCGGAGATCTAAGGTAGAGTCCAAGGCTTGGGGAGAAGAGGAAGCTTACCTGAAGAGAGTGTCAACTCGGAGTGCTCAGCCATAACTGCCGCAGGGAAGAACAGTGGTTGCATGTGCTGCACACTCTTCATCCAAGATTGTGGGTTAGACCTTGTCTGGGCCATGAAGAGAAATGTTGTGGGTGGAGATGACCATTGCACGAGGGCTGGCAAGTGTAGGAAGCGTACCTGTTGACTTGCGGCCATAGCTATCTGAGGGCTGGCAAGAAGGTGTAGGAAGCTTACCTGTTGACTGGCGGCCATAGCTATCTAAGGACTGTACAGAGTGTGGCACTTGTGCTAGTGAGTTCAGGGGGTGAGAGTAAAGGTCATCATAGCTTCAGGGAGGGAATGTAGTCGTGATTTGGGGGAAGAGGACTCAATGCTGCAGCAGGAGATAGACATTGTCATTTCAAGTTCCAGCTTCATTGTGCTAGTCTGGGATAGCCAACATTGTAGAGAGGTTTCCTTGGCAAGTGACATTGTGTCCAGATTGGTGGTGACGGAGTCGGGAGATACTAGCCGTTGGGTGCATTGAGGTGGTGAGAAGGATTCCTGTGGAAGAAGAAGGAGAAGCAGTCTGAACATTGTGTTCATGTGAGCCGTGTGTGTTCATGCAAGATTTGATTGTGAGCTTCTGCAGTTGGGTTCACTGCAGTTGCATCTCCAGAGCATGCATGTCCATTATGCTAACGTGAGTGCTCTGCTGAATGCCTTTGTGAAACTTTCAGGATATTGACAGGAAAAATGCACAGACAGCAGGCATTGTGAAGAGACAGGCTGAGCAGATAAATGAGCTGGAAACGTTGTACAAAGAGGAGCAGATCCTTCGTAAGAGATATTTCAACATGATGGAAGGTACACCTTGAGCCCTTGGGGCGGTTAGCAATTTGTTGGCTCGCAGGATTTCTCCTGTGCTGTCTTTGCATTGTTATTGTCCAGGCATACAACGTGGGTCTGTATTTCTGTTGTTTCTTCTGTGGGTTCGGGCCATCTAACCATCTATTTGTATTGGATAGCTTGCTAATCATGGGGAATTGAGGGGGAAGGGGCGTTTGTCTGTGTATAGTGGGAGTCACATGCAATGAACCAGAGACGCAATGCAGTTTTGCTTTGAGAACAAAAATGTCATCAGCACACTTCATCAGGCAATATTTCTTGACATGACAACACACTGCATCAACTCATAGATATTACCAAGAACCGTCTGTCCACAAAGCTTAGACAATATATATCAGAATGCTCGTCTGTCCCTTCCCTCAGCGGCTAGCACACACCGCGTTTCAATCGCCACCATGTAAACTCGTCAAGGGGCTTTCCTTCCAACCTCTCTGTCGAAGAGGACGACTGTAGAGACAAGGTTTGATGATATCCATTTCATAACTACCTACTGCTACTGGATAGGTATTCCTGTTGCCCTGAATCATGACACTGCCCTTAGCCATTTGCTATTCTGTTTTGTAATGCACAAGTGTCACTATCTGAGCTCCGTGGCTCTAATCACTTCAGACAGCCCCAGATTCTCAGTTCCGTGGCTCTGGCCGCTTCTAGAGAAGTGCCAACGACTTATTTACTGACATCTGATCTCAGACTGAAATCGTTCATGGCTACTGCCACAACCATCGTTTCTGTCACCGCTGCGATTGTTTTCAAGTAAGCGACGCCACCGTGCAGCGCTTTATAAACGAAAGGAAAATGGCAACAACTATCAACAAAATAAATAAAAAGTTAAAAGCTCTTAAAAAGGAAATATTATAAACTAACCATAGCAAAAAGCAAAACAGAAATGACCCCTCAGGAAGGGTAAGATCGGCGACCAGGAAATCAAATAAGTTATTAAACTGGATTTCGAGGCTCGGATCAGTTACCCCCAAACAATTGCATCTCGTGGCTCACTCCACCCGTTTCCTTTCCCGAAGCCTTTCTCTCCGTCCTTCTTCCCTTCTCCCTGAGTAATCATCAACCTGCAGCCAAGAAAGTTGATGTCATTCTTCCTGTCATCTGTTCTTTCCAGCACAATCCGACTTCCGTGTACGCCTGCAAACCTCTCGATCTCCCATGCTGCCTTCTGAGCCCCGTCCTTCTGCTTCTTCTTGTAACAGGAGAGGGCTGTCACATCATCCATGAGACGAAGAGCAGTCTCCTGTCTGCTCCTTGACTGTTCAGGAATCTAGCTTTGGAACTCGGGCACAGGACACATGCCAACACTGGGCTGGCATTTCCTCCCAATGGAATGCCAATTACCTGGCCATTTAGAGCCTCTTCTCTCTCAATGGCCGGTATTGCAAAACTTTGCCCGTGCCAGAGCATATCCCGCATGGCACACTCTGGGGAGTCTCTTCAAGTGTCTCCAACCACTCTGGCCAGACCTTTCTGCTCGAGTGAGTCTGTACGGGGAAATGTGGGCTCGAAAGAGTAAACAGAGCTCACTGGGAGTCTGGATTTCGGAATCTGGTTGAAAATGAGCCATTTTGTGGTTTCTTTAGGTCTTTGCCTGCTATAGCAAACACCTTAGCCTGTACGCGAAGCTTGAATTTGGCAGCATATACCATAGCCAAAGAATGGCGAAGTGTCTATGAAAATATAGCTATGCATTGACACTTCAAGTTGGCTATGCAATAGAAATTGGCAAGACCGCAAAGAAGTCCGGAGATACCTGACAGAGATGTTTGGGCGGACCACATGAGTCTCGTCTGGATTGCTGTCCATTGGGACACACAAATAACTTTGCGTCCACATTCGAACTATCTGCTTATCTCCCTCATTCTCTCTATCCTTAGCTCTCCGAGACATCCGGACACGTCCTCCCTTGTGATCTTGCGAATCTTCCCCTGATTGCTAAAATGAACTCGTAGTCCCTCAATTATTGCCATCATGACCCCACCCTCTCTCTCTCTGTTCATAGGTGTCACAACATTCCTTGAATTCCACGTGGTCCGAGGTACCCTTGGCATCTCGCTCAGCCTCAATTGCACATGCGCTTCCTTCTTTGGAAGGTTGGAATCTGTGCACCACAGACCTCCTTGCCAGAAGTCGCAGAGCTTCTGAAATTATGAAGAGAATTCCTTTGGTGCTTTCCCCAGACAATGTCGAGTTTTCTTTGTACGATTTTGGCAGGGTAAGGATTCAGATATCGTTCTTGGATCTTGCTCTTACACAAATGTCGATGCCGTGGCTCTTTACACAGCTTGAATTTTGACTTTCACAAGCGTCCATTGGCATATATTCATGCGACTTTCTTTGTGATCGCCCTCATGATCATTTTCTTCAACCGCCCACGTGTCACCTTGTCGAACTCCCTCGCACCTGGATATAATTGGATCAAATTGCCAAATTGCTTACTCATCTATTGCTTCCTTCGCCATGGCAGGATCAGGAGCAATCTCAGCTTGGCTTTCACTGTCGTTGTGATCGCAACTGTTTCCTACAGTTGAGTCGCCCAAACGATTTCCCCTTCCTCTTTTTTTTTCGATTTCCCCTTCCTCAATTGTCCCCCGACTATCCTTCAGTGACATTTCGCGCTATACTTTACTACTACGCACCATCCAAAACACTGTGTAATCATTTCCCAATCTTCTACCCAGGTACATCTGAAGTGCTTACTCGTCAATTGCTTCCTTTGCCATGGCAGGATCAGGAGTGATCTCAGCTCGGCTTTCACTTTCGTCGTGATCGAAAGTGTTTCCTGCAGTCGAGTCAACAAAAAAATCCCCCATTACCTGAACTATCCCCCGACTGTCCTTCAGTAGACTCTTTGTGCGGTATTTCACTACTATGCTAAAACGCCGTTAATCATTCCCCAATCTTCTATCCACATACATCCTTGCAGACCTTTGAAGTGTATCTCCTTGGCTCCAGTCTTTGGACTGGATCTCAGGATCGGAGCCAAGCTCGTACCCCATTCCTCTTCAATCCTAAACGTGAACACTCTCACCTCAGCGGGTTGCTTACCGCCTTGTTTAACTTCAGTCTTCACCCTCTCCCTTCTGTCTTTTCTTCCATCCTCGTGACCCTTTCAGCCTGGCATTTAGTGCTTGTGACCAGGTCTTGATTGGTCGCTTCTCTATCTGTTGCAAGTCTTCCTTTATTCCGCATTCTAAAGGCATCAAAACATACTCCTCCCAGCCCTTCTTCTTCAACCAACAGTACAGGCTTTGTGTTCTTCCCTGCTCCCATCTCGTGCATTTTGCCGTGTGCTGTCTCCATCTTTCTTCTAAGTTCCAACCCGATTGTCCTATGTATGCAGCTTTCATTCCTGGTGAGATCATCACATAAGTACATGATGATGGATTAGTCGCCAAACCTGTGAGGCTTGAATTTTTCTGCCCATCAATCCATCTCGTCGATGGGCCAGTGAGGCTTGAATTTTTCCACCCATCAAACTTGCCCAAGTATGGTCAGGGTGACCATCGCGATCCTTCCTCCCCTTCACCCCTTCTCCCCACCTTCTGACTTTGACTACTGATTCCCATATCACTCACCACCTCATGACTTCAGCTGTGCGTCTCCAGTCTGATGCTAGTCCTATCTTGGTCCTGGGGGCTGCTCTCCTCCGAACTTCATGAAAACAGTGAGCTCATTGATTGCCTGTTTCCAGTTCACCTACTCATACTCAGTCTCACAACCAAGGTAGGTTGATCATGTGCAGTGAGCTTCCATTTCATCTCATAGCAGAAATCGACTCCCTCCCCTTGTGCATCTAGTCGGCAGTAGCCTACGTTATTCCACCTTGTCCTCGAGCACTTGTGGGTCTATTACATTCTTCCCCTTCGATGCTCTTGTTTGCATCCGGTTTGCGGGTGTGGACAACTCATTGATCCAGACCTCGATAACCGGCTGCCTCATCCGCTTCCTCGGACTTTCAGTAATGACACTGGTCGGTGTCCATTGCTCCTCCCGTTTGATCGTAGTCGACTCCCGCCTGCACTCTAGTATGACCTCTGCCTCCAACTGCTCCACCCCACAGTGTAACTTCTCCACCTGTCTCAGTTTGTGCGCTCATGTGCTTGGCGACCTTCTTTGGTCAGAGCATGCCAGGGAGGTTTCCAGTGAGAAGTGGACCTTGGATTTCCCTTTCTGTTGCACCGATACAGTGGTCAGTGATGAAGGAGCCTTCCCCTTATCCTCATCTCCACTCAGGTTTACCGGTGGCTTGATTGCCTCTATCTGTCCTGATGTGCGCTTGCCTCTATCTGTCCTGATGTGCGCTCCTGCAGCTGCACCATCAGGCTTGAGAGTTGCGACACCATCCTCGCATCTCAAATTCCTATCACATGATCCACTTCCGCCTCCTGCTTGAATCCTCCACTTCCTTCATCTTCCCTTCCTTCTCTTCTTTGTTATGATCCTGGCTATCTTGCAGTGCAACAACTCAAGGAAAGACTATGCCGTTCAATTGCAGCTGAAATAAAAGAACTTGGAAAGAGAAATAGACAAAGGAGGAAGAAGAGACAAGAATGGAAGAAGAAGAAGAAGTAGATAAATGTCAGCAAAGACCAATGTCAGTTCCCCTTCATCTTGCCACCATCTCTGACCTCCGTTTACTCCCCCAATTTCTTCGTAACAACAATTATAATATTAAGAATCAAATTATGAAAGAAGGAACCAGAACCAATGTCCGAATCCTCTCCTTACTGCCAACCACTCAAGAGGTCCACATAGCCATCATAGCCATCTATTACACCTCCTTCCTCATTGGCCGAGTAGCTGGCTATGGCGGACTTACGGGCTAGTGTGTTCCTCTCCTCCCAAGTTCGCAATTGGTTGGAATTTGGGATTGCCCGAGAGGGCAAACACACTGTGGACGCCATGCCTAACACTACCCCGAAGTCTTCCTTGTAAAAGCCAAACCCAATTGG